AAATTTAAAAGACCTAAGAAACTGCCACAATAACGTCTGCAAGATTAATGTATGCTTTTTACTCAATAAATACAGTAGATCAAACCGTAAAAGGATTCATTTAAAAAACGATGATAATAATTTGCAATCTATAGAGATTCTTTACGAAACATTTTACATTTGTTTACTGTACCAAAAAAATGCAGTCAAAACAAGTAAGTTTTGGACCAAACAATTTCCTCGTTAGTCGTTCCATTCAAAATTACACATATTGTAAGTATATTCGCATTGAACAAATTAAATGTGATATTGGATCATCAAATTCTACATTCATTAAACGATGGTGTAAAACGTAAGCCATCTACTAAGATCATATGAATATTTTTTTTTATTATTAAAGATAAAGGCTTCAACAACTAGGTCAATAGCCTATAGTTACATAATATACATTAATATCAACAAATAATAATTGTGTGATTCACTATGTAGGTTATGGTATCACGCAGTTGGAGTTTACCTGGACGTACATTAAGAGCATGATATATTTTGTACATAAAAGACAGTATAAGACAATATATTATAATTTTTTTCTTTGCAATAATATAATATACCATTACCCTAATTTCGAAACATATTATAAAATAAAATAAAACACAAAAGTAATAATATTATTAGTACAAAACGCTAAAAATTAGATACATCATTGTTATTCAAGAAAATTTTATAATATTATCATTACTATTTCTAGTACCACTGCACGGAGAAAATGAAAACGAAACAATTAAGCCCCTAAATTGCCTATATAAAGCTCCGTGTTATCAAATTAGATTTATTGAAGGCATAAAAAAATACGTATCGTTTCTGATGTATACCGGGGATAGTACAAAATAAGCTATAAGTACGAAAGTAAACGTTGACTAAGTTACCTAAGTTGATTATAGTTTGGAAAGAAGGGTTTTCTTATATTTTAGAAAAGATAAGGTAAGCTTTTCATTTCATATTAAAGTATTATTCAATAAGATTCAACGAGTTGACAAATTTGATAAAATACCAAATATTTTTTTTATGGTTATACAATATTGAACATTATGTTTGTAGGAATATTCAATATGTTCAATATTGTAAGCTAATTGAATCGCAAACTCTTCTGATTATTATACTTAAATGGCTTACACATCCTAACTTTATTATTAAAATTGAAGCCAGTCATTAGTTAATATTGTATCATAAAACAATGAAAATAAATAAAACTACATCGAGACAAACAAAATCCAAAACAAACATCCATCCAGTTCATCTTTTCACTTTTCTGTTTACTGTGTTTGGCCTGTGTACCTTCTATTCACTCATGTCGTCTCGCTATTGTTTCTTTTAGTATATTTTATCAACCATTCTATTGTAAATCATACTCATAAATTGTTTTTATACATATTGCTCTCACTATTATGTATATTCACTCCAATCAGGTTTCTCAATTATCAGCTGTATACTACTCTTACGATTTCATCTCTGCTAATTTTTGCTACGTCTAAGTATTACTTTTTGGTTTCTCCACTGTCTGCTTTTGGTTTTATTCACCTCTGCTTGTTGTTTGTATAATAAAGGTTAAACTATTAGTTTTGACTTCCGCCAGACGGTTACCTTTATAATATTTTTTTTAACGTCTAGGTCAGTCGAAGCGATATATTTTAACGATCATCGTTCATCTTTGTTCTCTTCCGCATTGACAGAAACAATAAATTATTATACATAATAAACAGAATAAAATAACTTCATTAAAGCATCCTTTTTTTTAAACCAAAGTCTATACTCTACTCGAAATTTGTAACGTGATTCAGAGTTAAATATTTTATAATTGTACAGGCCGAAATCCAATGAAACAAGAATAGGTTATATAATATAAGAAATGAACAATGGAGTATGAACAAATAAACATTTTAACATATTTTTAATCTTTATTTTTTTTTTTAACTAATTGATAGTTTTTTCAGCCTTAATTTTTTTTTACACCGTATAGCGAGCTTTCAACAGTTAATTTTGTGATAAAATTAATTTATAGTTATATCATTTTTACATTATATAAATATATAACCTACTATAATAAATATTCGTTGTTTCTGATGGGTTTTTCTTGTTTTTCAGTTAAATGCATAACATTTGTATTGTTTCACAAAAGAAACATTGAATATTATTACATTACACATACATAATACATATTCACATATTATAATATCCTGTGTTAAATATGTAAAAATATTCTCAATTTCTACAATGAACAAAGATGATTAAGTGCTTACACAGTATAATAGTTATTACGTTTTATAAATTGTGTTCTAAAGTACCTAAGTGTTCATCATTGTTTTTTACCACTACCCTCAGAAAAAATGGAACATGTTTTTTTATAGTCATAGAAATAATTAATGTATTTTAATAAATTTTCAATCCATCATATTTTATTCAATTTAACGAATAGTATTTGTTTAGTTGTGTATTTACAGAAATATAGAACTAACGAATAAGCTTTTACACGTAATAAAATAATATTGAAGGGGATTATAATAGTCGTTAAGATCGTTACAGTACACTGGGTCTGTATTCTATTTTACCTTGTTTACGATAGATATTGAAGATTATTATCTAAAACTAAATGATTCCGGCATACTGAAACTACAAAATTCTCCATGTTTCACGAAAAAAAAAAAATAATAATAATAAAATCCTGTATACGTGCTTACATAGTTATCGGTCGTTGTTACAATTTTATTATATTATAATGTTTACACTAGCTCGTTTCAACATTTATAATTTTTATTGATCCGGGATTATTACTACCGATCAATTTATAACTGGACTTTAAATGTGGAGGTCCACTAATACTAGTCCCTGAAATATAATTGAAAATCATAAAGATGAACTAATAAGATTAAACAGTTGTTGGTATTATAGATATCCAATCCATAAATATTTAACTAAAAATTGGTATAAAAATATAATGTATACAATTTTATTACCTTATTATTATCAAATTATATAATTATATTACAAATTCTATGAAAACGATTTGTATAAGTGGTATACCCGTCTATGGTTCAATTATTACTTTCTAAGTGATAGACAGCAGGTGGTGAATTAGTCACAAACGTGCCGTATTTGTGATTTCGGAAACCAGAACTAATGAGATAGGCGTCTTGTTACAATAATATTCCTACTGATGGTTATAAACAACAAAACTTCAATATTATGTTGTAAGATGAAGATACACATATTTAAACTGCAATAGTTATCTATTTTTTAAATCTGATATAACGAGTGTCAAGTGATATTAATTAAGCTTATACAAATCAGTTTTTACCAGTATATTTATTATGATGAAAATATTAAAATATATTATTTTCAATTGACTGTTGATTATTATTAAAATATGAAAATTAAAAGCATAGTTAATAATGACATGAATTTCAATTTTATTCAAAATAATTACTAATGAATAATAATTTATGAACTGTATTTGAGGCATTTAAAAAGCTATCCATAAGAACTGATTTTAATTCATTTTACATAATTTATTTATGAAAATACATTTCTAAGTAATCCATTTAGTAGGCTGTTTGAGGTGTAGTCAATCACTTGTATGTTCACCACTGATTAATTTCCAAAAAAAATAATTTCAACGCAATTCACTAGCTTAATACTAACCCCTTTTTTGAACTTAAAATATTCATTTATAATTGGAATCCGTATTATATCCATAATAATATATTTTTCAAAGAAGATCAGATTTTTACGGTATTTTTAATTTTTCCATTTTTGTCACGATTCCTAGGTTTTAATAATTTTAATTAAAAACCCTTCTTTAAAAAGTCCAGAACGTTTTATTCATTACGTAAAATAATAATTATTGGTTCATTATTCACATTTCAAATTGACTCACAATTTTTTTAATTGTATTATACTATCAATAATAATATGTTCTCAGCAAACTGTAGTATATTGAAGATTTAAAATTATCATGAGTGAAATTATTAGAAATGCTTTATACACCTACATATAATATGTATATAATAAATATTATGTTTATGCAATAATAAGAAAAGTTAACAATTTAATATTTATATTATGCATTCGCGTTCCTGTAAATTTTGATATTGATTATAGTATTTTTATACTAATCGTTCAACAGAATTGGTACACAAATTTTTTTGTTTATAAAGCCATATTATTTAGCCACAAAATAATTAATACATTGAGACGTATAAAAATGTATGGCTATTAAATCTATAACAAAGTTTTAAGAAATTCATCATAGTCCAAAATATTTCCTCAAAATTTTTTTATTAATAAAAAATAAAATAATTAAGACGTACCTTAATAAATGTTTGTATTGCACTTAACCAAGAGCTAAAATTTGAATAACCCTATTGGATATGTTAACTTACTAGTAAGAAAAAGTCCGTTAAATCACAATCACAATTTTTGGTCATATGGTCGTCCTGGTATCATCATCCATGTCAATAAAATCATCAAGTCCCAAAGGACATCTAAACCCTCTCGAAAACCGTTCCTTATCACATCCAAATCGTAATAAGATCCACCCGGTCAGACTTACGTTGTGTGTCGAAAGACCCTACCTTCCGTGCTAAGTATAACCATAGCAAGACCCACCAGGGCCGATGGTTCGGAAAATTTTAAACTAGACTTAATAAATATATAATGCATTGTAGTGGAAAATCTTAAATCTGCTCAAAAAAATTATAAAAATTATTCATATTCGAGTAAGGTACTTGTATTCAGTTTTCACGGAGGTAATATTATATTTTCTAAGAACCATCGTAGTTATTATAAAAACCTGTACTGGCTTAACAACTTGTGTTTATTATATTTTTAAGCAGATTTAAGATTTTCCACGACAACTTGTTTTAAGTTAATTATGCCTAGATAATATAGATATATTATACCTTCATAATAAATTGTCATTTGCCTTACATCATTCATCTAGTCAGAAACTATTACGAATACCTGACATGGATGCTCGTAGGATTACTATTAAGATCGACAACGGTGGAAATGACAATTTCAACATGCACTGCTCAATGTCAAAGCAGAAATCAGTTATTGGCCACTCCATCGATGAAGTCGATCCGATGTTGAATGAGGAATTCAACTTGAGGATGGAAGTCGTCAACGACACTGTAGTGACTTCACACGGAAAGTCTCCCAAGCGTCGTCAGTCTGTGACAGTGGTGGAGCGGCGCAGCCAGTCGCCGATCCGTAGCCCCATGCCCCCATTACCGTTTCCACCAAAACATAGGATCAATACCGCTTGGAAAAAGACGCCACCAATACCAAAGCTAACAGTGTGCACCGAGCCGGGAACTGTTAAGCTGACATGTGATGACGGGATGGGAGTTGCGTCCTATCAACTGTACGCGCCCTTAGACGGATATGAACTGTTTGCTTGCATATTGGATGGTGGCGTCGACAACGCCAAATGGGAAAAGCTGACCTACATCTTGGCCTCAGCGCCAAACCAAAATCAGCGGGTACCCATCACATGCAAGTTGACCAAAAAGGCCAGAGGGATAGAATATTACTTCGCGGTGCGAGGGGTTGACGTCCACGAAAGATGTGGGCCATGTGCCGTAGTGTACGCGAGGCTCTGATATCTGCAACAACAATGAGACAGTATAGACTTACGTGGTTTGTCGAAAGACTCTTCTGTGCTAATTATAACCGTAACAAGAGTACAAGACCCACCAGTACATATGGTTTAAAATAATTTAAAGTAGTTTAAAATAGTTTAAAATAGCAGAACATAATATTAAACTAATCTTAATAAATATATAATGTATTGTGGGAGAAAATCTTAAATCTGCTTAAAAAAAAAATAAGTATTAAGTTTAGCCCAACTATAATAATCGCCTATCTATAATGCCTGTATAATAAAATATAATTTATCTACCGGCATTTGCCGAGTCAGAAACTATTACGAATACCTGTCATGGATTCACGAAGGATTACCATTACGATCGATGAAGTTGGAAATTAAGTTTGGAAAATTTCAACATTCCGTGCAAAATATAAAAGCGGAAATCGGTTGTCAGCGACTCCGTTGGCGGATGAGGAATCCAACAGGAGGATGGAAGCTGGTAAAAGTGTGTTGGCCTTGCCCGCTGAATTGTCCAAGAGTAAGGTGTAGCCATGCCCTGACAGTGGTTCAGCTTCGCATACAGTCACTGATCCGTAGCCCAATGCCCCCCTTGTTTTATCCACCAAAACACATGATCAACTACGCTTTAGAGAAGTCGCCACCGATACCCAAGCTAACGTTGTTCCCCGAAATGGAAACTAGCGATAGGATGACGGCATCAGCCTCATCAGCCCGGACGAGAATTTTAAGGTCGAGCCAACAACGAAAAATTGGAAAGGTGAAGTTCTTCAAGGCCATTTCGCTGATCTACAACCGGTGGCAGTCCATCGGTTGCAATATTACAATGGGGGTGCAGAGGGATAAAATATTAATTCGCGGTGCGAATGGTTGATGTTTATTGTAGACGGGAGGTACGTTAGGCTCTGATAACTGCATCAATAACGAGGAAGGGGTTACTTACGTCATAATACGTCTATCACACGTCTAGAACCTAAACAGTGTCTGTGTAATGTTGTTCACCTTTTTTCTATCAAATTCATGAATTTATTTTTGCAATCCCCTAACACTCCGAGTGTCACTTCGATATTATCACTCTTATTGTGGTTGCTTATTTGGACGAATAGAGTGATCATTGTCCTTGAAATAGGTTTACTATTAGGTAATTATTAATGTACCTATATAATATATGTATACGTAGGGATGTTTTGTAACTTGTTACGAGTAAGATACACACACGCACACACGAACAACGGTCTTTACCAAAATTACAAAATAAATGCAAATGTTTGGCATAGAAAAGATAACTTAAAATATGCTTTTGTATGATCGACTTCTTTTAGAATCAGGGACTCAATCACAAATTATTGTTTGTAAACGTCCCCCACCCACTAGTAAAGCTAATAGACGAAAGTCCTGTTAACCATAATCCTGATCCAATTAAAAAAGGTCATATTTACTACCTATATGCCTTCAGACCACAACACTCTACGACCAGCCAATTTATGAAAGTTATCGACCCCCTAGCTTACACAACAAACTGAGAAGGAAGAGTAGCGGTAGTATTTCTGGATTTTGAGAAAACGTTCGACAAAGTGTGGCACGACGGACTACTCCACAAATTACTCCAACTAAACGTATCACCATCGATGTTCATACTGGTACAGTAATTTCTTTCCAACGGTACATACTCGTTCCACCTTCTCAGCACCAAGAACACCGTTGCAGGCGTTTCCCAAGGATCATGTATCTTGCCAATTATTTCATAAAATATGACAACGATTCCACTCCCGAAATCTGGACTAACCTCTTTGTCAACGATACCATATGTTAATCGTAACCAGCATGGGCATACAGCATGCAGTAGAAAAACTCCAGACGCAGATTTACGTCCCCCTCCCTTGGCTCCAAAAGTTGAATATGACAATAAACATGGCCAAAACTCTATCGATAAAATTCGGGAAAAGAGGCCTAAAAACACGATACCAATACGAATCCACAACCAGGAAATCAGCTCTAAACCCGCAGTCAAATACCTTGGAGTCCACCTTGATAGTGAACTGTGATTTAACCGGCACATCGCTGAAACCGTACAAAAATCAAGACACACTCGAGCAGTACTATACCCCGTGCTCAACCACTGCAGTCCGATTCCAGTTCAAACCAAGTGTATATATTATATACATGTATATACATGTATGTATATATGTATAATGTATACGTCGAATATATAAAATGTACATCAAAATCATAATCACTTAGGTAAGTCGGCCCAGCATGGGATAATTGAAAGACCAATGGGCAATGATTAACATCCTGGGCGTGCAGAAACAATCGTCGTCCTGAGACGTGTGGTGTCAATCAACCGTTACATTACGCCCAGCAAAGCAGCGGACATCGAAGAATCTTTCCTAGTCGACTACTATAACTCGTCTGGCTTTATACTAGAAACCCTTCTCAGGGCAAACGCGCCTGTCTATTCCACGCTCGCCTGACGAGATCCACGGAGCGGAAGCTACTTTCGTAAGCAGGCCCGATCCCCCACCCTCTATCTGTAGATGTCACATTGTAAAAATATTCCCAAATTTGTAAGAGAACCCTGATCGCCACCAGGCCGACAATTCTCAATTCCATATTGTAATATATTCAGCTCTTCATAAAAATAAATCAACTATTTACATACTAAACACTGCAAGCGTTCTCACCTTATACGAGGCGGTCTACCATTTCAAACTATATTGTAATATCATTGAGTATATAAAAAATCTTATATAATAATATATACTTGATGCACTTGTATAGCACGAAAAACTTATGTGAATTTATCACAAATCATTCAAATGTTATTACATGTGCAATGCCTACAAAATATATAGTGAATATGGAGCGCACGACAATGTTTACCTCTTGTTATACTATGATTGATATTATTTATATTAATGTATGCCATTCTTGGCAATAAAATCGTGCCGCTAAAACCATCCAACAGTACCTAAGTTATAATAATATGATATGAGTTACCGTCACAGAGGCGTACACTAAATAAGTTACATTGGGAATGGTATAAGTGCCAATTATAAACTATATGTCGTTACTTATTGGTACTTATACTAACTTTATCGCCCATAAGTATAAATATATTCGTAGAATTTCAAAATACAATTTCAATGATGTCTTCAGACGTCTGTGCAGTATTGCAATGATCATAAATAAAATAAAATAAATGAATACTTTTATCGCATATTATTATTATTTATATTTTATATATTTTCTTAGATTTGTTCAAGTGAACATACCTACGAATTGCCGTACATAGTATAATAATAATAATAATACCATATCGTTTGAAAATAAAATAATGTTTTCATAATATTATATTGATATGTCAGATTTCATTATTCAACTTGTTTAAATGATTATAAATTATAATATATTCATAATATATGCGTGACAGATTTAAACGAAACACATTATTATTATAATAGCTATGCTACTGCAAAAACTTCAACCGCAATCATTTAAATGGCACAACATCTGAAAACCGATCATCTAATATCTTGACTTTCACGTTGGAAGAGCAAATTATTTATGTGTTTCAATTGCAGAACAACATAAAATATACTATACGTAGGTAGGTACCTACTAACTACCGTCGCGCGTCGGCTTTTTGCCAAATTTAATTATCGGTAAAAGTTGTTGGTAAATAGCGTTTTAAATAATTAAAAAGTATCTCTAGGATTTTGTTTATATTTTTTCCTATGATGTAAAAATAATTATAAATAAAATATGAATAGAAAATTGTTTTAAATCACATAAAAATATCACACTAATCAATCACATTAACGGTTTAATGAATTCTTACATCTGACAATAAAACAATAAAATAACAAAGAATATTTAAAAAGCTAAAAAACATGGTTTTATAGAGAATCTGATGTTGAGTGCCTCTACACAAATTATAGAACTCAAATGTATACACTAGATAGCTCTTTTAAAAAAAAATTTCATTTTGCTGTTTATGAGTTTTGGCAGTAAGACGACGATAATATAGTGGAATGATCCGCAACTCGAAGTCTGCATCTGAACCCAAGACTATTTCATAAGGCCCGGTCGAAAATTATTTAATTAAATATTTTTTGTTTATAGATCACTCTAGTATTAGTCATTACTCATTAGGCATTAGCCACCATGATATGTAAGTAAAAATTAAAAATCATATTCTAAAATATTAATGTATTAATATTAAACATTATTAAAACATTTTTATTTTTGTCTGAGACGGCTCAAGACATTTTTTTATTTTTTTAATATGAGTTCAAAAATATTGATGACCTTATAACTAAAATGTAGTGGGATTAGTATGTCTCAAGAATAGGGCCACTAAACGCTTAGGACTAGGCAAAAGGAGGGGGGAGAGCTTACTAAACATTCCGTTACTAAAATGGTGATGTGATTCTAGTAAAGGAGTGCCTGCTGCAGCAGCTTAACGCTTTACTTGAGACACTAAATAGGAGTATTTGCAACAATATTTGATGTCACTCTACTGTGTATGGCCCCAAGGACCACTACAAATGCCTTTGAATTTTATCGGTCCTAAACGTGCACTAAGTGATTCATAGAACTTTATCATATACCTACGGCAGTCGTTTCGATATCGAATACATGCTATTATAATTATATTATATTGGATGCAGATTTTGCCAGAATTCGATCACCTTGGAGATGAAACAAGAGCCTTTGATGGGATACCGCGAAAGTCCGATGCACACAAATGCCTGCAGCATTATTTAGCATCGTCCTCGCATTAAGACGTTGTCTGCTTCCATCTTGAGTAATCGTAATCACAAATTGTTGTTATAAACGAGCTGCTGTACAACGCGGTATTATATTGGTGAAGGATTTCTCTGCACGTTTGAAACAATTAAAAGTCCACGAGTTTATTCTTATTTTTTGTACACGTCTGTAGGTACTCTATGTCATCCGACCCGTTCGGGCTTTCAGATTATGTGTAGACACGTTTCACACTTTATAAATTGCAGTATCATTATCAATTTATACCGTTAGTGTAACACAAAATTAACTTCGTATAATACGATGACCAGAGTCTAGAAATCGTAGCGTTTGCATATATTACTGCTCGAGACTTATGTTGAACTTGAGAATTAAGTACATCAACATCTGCTGCAGGTTAAACATGCATAATATACATACTCCAAAGCCAAAAATGTTATAGCATAGTTCTTAACATTATATCAATTTTTTAGTGAAAGCGCATATTTAAATTTTTAGTTTTTACACAACGATGTATGCATATTTTCACGATAAAACGAGAATTTTTCAATACCTATATCGATAGTATTTAAAACTGGATAGCAGGGCTTCGTACCCGAATCATTTATTCGGGTTTCAGGTTTCGGGTTTAGGGTGCTGGATGTATCCGGGTGATCAAACACCGGAATAAAAAGTTTAAACAAACATTTAGGTTTTCAAAATAGGCTATTATTCGGGTTAATATTGGTTAATAAAGGTGTTGAGTAGTCTGGAAAAACATAGCTTTTGATGACCCCCTCCCCACCCAAAAAAAAAAAATGATCTATGCTTTCTTCAATTTTGTTGAGATCATGTCTATATTTTATATTGCTATTGGCTATACTTGGATTTATTTTATTTACTAATGAAGTAATAAATTATATTATATTATATTAGATATTATAATAAAATTTTATTGGTTTTTTATTTCAAGAAAATAATTATTGAATTTACCTGTGATTGATTGTAAGATTGTTCCGGTTAATTTATTATTATTATTATTATTACTAAACAACTAACTACATAATCGAACTCACCACAAGAAATACATACAAAATGATATAATATCATATGAAGAGTTTGTAAAAAATAAAATTATTTGGCTTTCGGGTTAACCCGAATGATTTGTTCGAGTTTTGGATAATACGGGTGTTTTGAAAACAGAATAATTTGGGTTATATGGGTTTCGGGTGATTGATTCTTTAAGGGTGTTTAGGGGTGTTAGGGGCTTAAGTGAATTCGGGTGCCCTGCTGAATAGTTTGCTGTTTGGAAAAAAAGTAATAATATTATCGATATGAATCTAAAATTAATAATTGCGATCAGTATTGTAAACAGAAATCAGAGATAAGATATAAGAGATAAAAAACTGAAAACATCTTAATTAAGATAAATGATGAATATTTTGTTCAGGAATGTTATCTAATAAATAGGTTAGTTTATACAATGCCGACAAAAGATTTATTCTTTTAGACGAAAAAAAAATAAAACAATTATTAATATTCATGTAGCATGTTATTGACATGTGCGTGCACTTGCGTGAGTGCTCCACTATTTCTTTTACACCACACTAATGACCACATACAACACTCACATTTGCAAAGCAAGCACGCACATACTTAGAAAATTGACTATATTTAACTCCTTGAAATCCTTCGGTATAGAATCCTCCAAGGTAACAAAAATAATATAAAACAACAGAAAATAAATATAAATGTTCGAATAGGTCATACGTTTAATATGAAATTTATTCGCATATAAAAAAATAATTGTATAAGAAATAAAAGGCATAATATCTCTATTGTGAGAGCAAGCGCTTATTTGATTGTGTTTTTCGTGGAAAAACAGTAATTTAGAGTGTTGTATAATATTATAATACTATAATATTGTAAATTATTTGTAATCGTACTCTCACCAGGCTCACTGATCATCTCAAAATTTGTCTAATCAATTTTGATATTTTTTAATCAAATTTTAATTCACCACAAAATTAGGTAGTAGGTAACACGTCTAAATATAGAAAAAAAATTGTATAATATTGCTGATTTGTAGGAACTTGATGTCCAGCTGATGGTGCTCACAAATTGTATTATTATGTTGGTCATAGAATCAATGATATATCAAAAGTTGATAATGTATAAAACTAAAAATTAGTTTTCCAGTACTTAAAAAATAATTAAATAATAATTACAAAAATACTACTACCTAAGCTTCATTATAAATTTTTTAATTTATCAAAATAGTTACAGATTTATACTAATATTAACTTTTATATTAGTTACAAATAAAATTTACTATTTTGGTGAAATAACTATTTTTATGAGTCTTTAAGACTTTTTGGTTGTACAGAAAGCATTATAATAAGAATTAAATAATAAAATATCACTCAAGAATGATTGAATGTACTATAAAATGTGATCATTATATACAATTGTATTGACCAAATATTCCGATGCTAGTTATGAAAGGGGACTGAGAATTCAGCTTCATTATGTAAAAGCACCGATTTTTATATAAGTATATGAAATTCGTTAGGATACATTGTTTATGACAACGTTAAAAATAAGACCGAAAAGGTATTGAAAATATTATGGCTTTGTAAGTCTGAAAACTTGTCAAAAATACGTTTTTAAGACATTTATTGCGATTTTGGTTTGAAATGTCTGTAAATCGAAAGTTTCACGATTTTGATGGTTTTACATCGTTTTGAACTCAAAACTTTCAAAGCGCTCGTTTTTCCTCGAAAAACGGTTAATCTTCCCGAGTATTAACCAGCCCGCGGTTTGGTTTTAAAAAAAATAAACAGTCGTAACGATATAATTTCCACCATGATGACGTTATTAATAGCTATCTATTTGTTCGCAGGGAATTTTTTATTCATTTACGGTCACGAGGACACACCACATATCTACATAAGGAGCCCTTACTACACGGTCGGCGTGTTCGACAACAACGGGTGTTCGCTGTCATTTCAAATGCACACCAACGTCTCGGTGCCCAGTCAAGTGTCGATAATGCTAAAGACCGAGAATTATACGTCATTAATTCAGGATAATGTCGAAAACAACTCTCCCATGTAAGTGTAAAACCACCCTTATGCAACCATCATCAACGCATCGACGGCGTGTTGAAAACATTATATAGGTACTGTTATAACGCGCACAAGTTGCACCCGACAAAAAGCACGAAATAATTATTATTATTAATTGGCTATAAAAAAAAATTAATATAAACGTATCGTTTATCAGGTACTTCTGGGTTATCACGACAACCTGCATGAAATCGGATTTTAGGTAGGTATCGGGGTAAACTTAAATTTTTAGCAGGTGATCCAAGGCATCTGGATTACCGCAATTATAGAGACTACCATATATTACCCAAAGGTTAACTCGTTGACAAGTTTGATTAAAGTGTATTAACTTTTAACTTAATTAGTTTAATTGACGGATGAATTAATAACTGTGCTTTTTTTCGGTTCTATTTAAAAATAATACATTAAGTGAAAATCAAAAATGTTTCAGATAATTTGGGTTTTAATTAGGGCTTTCAAATATTATAAGAACTTTTTATTAGACAAAAACGATTCAAATTTGTAAACGTAATTATAACGGAAAGCGATAATCAAAAGTAATTAAATACAACAAAACAAAACATAACAATATTAACAAAATATCTATATATATAAATGTGAAAATGAGAACCTTTGAGTGATATGTTCTAGGAAAATATTGAACCCATCGTTATTATTTTTTTTTGTTCAATTGAAGAGCTCATTGAGGAGAAGGTTTATGGCATTTGATCGATTCTCTAACTTAATAAACAAAGGAGTTATCAATTATTACAAATAATGGCCTTCTACATAGACTTGGCAACGTGGCAAGCATTCTGGGTTACCTGCTATACAATAGCCGACGACAGTCGACCGTTTATCGCGGATAAGACCGTACGACGGATCCACTGAACGAAAAATGAGAATCATAAAACTGCAGTTCTTAGTCTACTCCTCATACGTGCCAGTGAGAGGTCCGAGCGCTAACTTAATGTATAATATTCTCGCCATCGTCATTTGTGTGCTGTTTTTTATCGATATTTCTTACCCACAGAAAGGAGTCTCTAGCGAGACTCTTCGATATAGAAAAATGCCGTGTCAAGTCTTTGTCTGGAATAAGCCCCGAAACTACTTAACCGATCTTGATGAAATTTTTACAATGTGTTTAATTTGGCCGAACTTAAAAGATAATTTTAAAATTTTAAAAGGGAGAGGATCAACCCCGGGAGGTGCTAAAATGGGAATTTTGAGATTTCAGATCGAAAATTTTGTTTATAAATGGTTGCCATGAGTGACGTCGTATAAAATGATTTTTTCTAGAAATTTCAATACAGCATTATAGTTGATCGCTTAAAGGCGTTGCCACGAGCACAAACAAACCATTTATTATAATATAATACATCTAACTATTTGTTATTGTACATATTCAATCAATACCTATTATTATTATGCGTCTATAAGAAATGATGTTTTTGTAAGCCATTTAATAATAATAATAAAAAAAACTATTTGTTTTACTTTTTAAATATAAATAATTATAATATAATATCCAACTATAAAAATGTGAAATGAAAATCCCTGTACAGGCTGAACTGTGGAACTACTTATTAGATCTTCTTGATTTTTTTTATATGAAAGACAATTTTAGGAAAATCCACCGGTGTGTAATATATTGGTTGCTATTGGTTAATCGGCCATAATTGTTAATATTATTGTTTTTTTTTTTTTAATCATCGGCTTTTAGTACGTTAGGTTAGGATATGATTTTGTATTCATTGATTATATTAATCTACCGTAGTTACCTAGAATTAAGTAAAAACGACAAACTTGGTATAACTTTAATACTATAGAGTTAAATCATACACTTACGTATAAACTTCACGGTGTCCACGATGTAACGTAGGTAAATTGCCTAGGTACCTGATAATGTACTCAGAATTTTTATTCAGGGTGAAGGAAAATTTAAGATAAATTTTGAAAACCATGTAATACCATTCGTTATTAAATAACGAATTGAACAAAGTTTGAGTCATATAAAGTCGATACATTTAACGGAAAACGTAGTGCAATGGATCACACTAGTATTATATAAAATTAAACAAAACGTAATTTATCATTGAACGAAAAATAACGAAATATTTTAAAATCTATTTATTTAAAAGGTCTATTGGTTTCATAGACATATTAATTTCATGCAAACAATCTAAGGATTGATTATAGATATTATTCCATATCCGGGCCATTACCTACCCGCATTAGTTATTATTTTTAAATAACGATAAACTCAAAAGTTGAATAACGTTTTAAGGCGGCTCTTAGTGGCTATTATTTAAGGGGAACAATTTAGGCAATTTCTAATCTTGTCGTCGCCGCCCGTAATCTATGTGTTAGTCGTAAATGATTATTAGTGTGAAATTCGAAGAAATTCGAACTCGATAACAATAGATTTTATATCGCCCGGCTGCGGGCACACGGTTCAATAGCACACGTACGCGCATGCACAAGTCAACGTAATCACTCTCGAAAAATATTTTTGTACACTCACAACAGTGAAAATGCTAATAAGCTGGCGAAAAATACACATACTTCTAGTAGTCCAATTTCAATTTTGAAAATTATTTGAATTCGTCAGCCTCTTTTCTATGATTTGTAGGAAACCGATTTTGGATATTTTAGATAATTTACGTATATTACGGTTCCAAATGACTGCTTAATTTCTCAAATTTAACTTGCACTTTTAAGTGCTAACTAGACAAAAAGATGAAAAAGTTTTTCCTACAGATCATAGAAAAGAGGCTAATGAATCCAAATAAGTATTCAAAATTGAAATTGGACTACTAGAAGTATGTGTATTTTTCGCCAGCTTATTGGTCTAAATGCATGAAAATCCAATCGTTTAGAGCCGCCTTAATTCTAAATAATCTATATATATATAATATATAATATAATATATATATATATATATTATAATAACTTTATAAATTGTGGAACGTTTTAAATTTAAATAATTTATAACTAAATTTTTATCTAATGCAAGCTCTGGTTTTAATGATTTTATACGCTAATTATTGAATATATGGTATTAAATAATAAAAATAATCTAATACTATAATAATAGTAATATAATAGTTCATACTATATTTTTGTTCTGTTTCTTAATAAAATAATAATATTTATGTGATACACATGGTACTAATTAAAAAAGTAAATTGACTTTTTTTAATGTTAGTGAAGTTAGTATTTTTCCAAACCCACTTTAAAAAATTAGCGAGATAAATGTATTGTTTGTTAATTATTAACCTCTAACTTAACGATCTTGTGTTCTACATGAGTTAATTATTTTCATTAACTAGTCCACCTTTGTCAAATACAGTAGGTACAATTACTTAGGTCTGAAAGTGGTGGTGTGGCGTTCCCCTTCACAGAGACTTACTAATAACAATTAATTTACTAACAGATTATAATAACATGCAAATTGCCAATGTACAAAGTGATACTTTTAAATGTCATTGTAAAACCACATTTTGGTTTCCACCTCATGTGATCGTGCTCATGAAAATATAGAATAGTATAGAATAAAATTGAAGATAATACTCGTTACACAAAATAAACTCTGATGTCCTGGTAGTTGCAATAACCCGGATGAACATAGCGAACGAATGCAATTTTTTAATTCACACTAACCCGGAAGTGCTGTATATAAGAACAGAGTCATCGTAAGAACAAGAGACAGTATTGTAAATATCGTTTTTATTTTACATGACGTTTTAATATTAAAAAAATAGGATACTTGTCACATTTGCATTCTAAGTATGGAGATTTGGCGCTACTTGCTCAACATTTCATAATATTTTGAATTCAGATTTTTACTACTGCTAAAAATCAACTTTATAATTTGTCGTTATAGTTATATTATGTACCAACCTTATAAATACCTAATAAATATTTAAATACTAATTAATTATTACACGTTTTTAATTTGAAAACTTTTGAACGTAATAAATTGTGTTAATGTCAAACACATTAATCAATTTTCCAAATCAACCCATAACCTAACTGGAAGTTTGACCAGTCAGGGTATTAATATTGTATATAGTAATATAACAGCCTAGAGTTTCGGAATGTTGATTATCTCTCAACACCATGATATTTTATTATATTATAATTATATAAATATATAGTAGAATAAGCTATAATAATTAATAAATAATTATAGTGATTTACTGGCATGTAGATACGGAGTGGTTTATGATATAATTTCTAAAAGCATTCATTATTATTCAATATTTTTTTAAAAATCGTAATTATTTTTATAATAATTAAAGTAGTTATTGTTTTAATATTTCCTGACACACGCGAGTAAATCACATGTTGCAATAGGACTGAAAAGATGTTTGTTAGTAACAGCATTAATCGAGAATGGCTGAACCGATTTAGCTTAATTTTTAAAAATATTTTTTATATTCCGTATAATGTTTTTAAGGAAAGAAACTTGGAAAAGTAACTTGGAAAATTGGAAAATTCGGGAAAAAATGAAATGCCTTTTTGGAATTTGATTTTTCTATAAATTTGTTTTGATGGTTACCAGGTTACATATTATAGAATAATTATTATTATAATTGGATATTGTAATTTTTATATTTGGTCACTATATGTTTTAAACACTTGGTAATAGGATTTCATAGTCACCAGCCTGGCCATAATCGCCTATTATCAACCTTGATTTGCTAACCACCCTTCATGATGTTTGCACTATTCTTTATTTTGAATCGATATTTACAAAAATACATATTTTCAGTTTACTTGTGATTCTAAGAATTACCATACGCATATATCATAGTCAATAAAACGGAGTAATTTGGGTCACTATCTACTCACAATTCATTTACTACAAAACAAACGATTTTTCGATCTAATTGAATATCTAATATCTAATATCGAATATCTACTAGAAGAGAACATTAAAATTAAACGTAATCCGTCATATCAAACACGTTATTTACGTGCACCAGATGACCGGGGAATTTCAAACAATGACAATGATATGCATCGAAGGAGACATAAACGGTCGTTAAAAACAAATCGAACAACAATTGAATATGAATAATCGAGTACGAAAACTAACAAATGTTGCGTTGACTATTGATCTAGCTGCATTCCATTACAACCCGACAATTGATTACAGTTCAGATCAGTCTATTGCTATTGGATCGATGAGCATTGTGTACCCACATCATAAGACATTAAAATACAGAAATGAAGCTGGATTTTATTGTGCAAGTAGCAAAGTCATTACGGCATTACGTTCTTTGGTTTCTGGAACAGGAAGAGATTCCACACATTTTCTGTTACAGATCCAGAAATAAAACAGTTGCTTCCAAAGAAATTATTATATCCAATCATAATAACAATTATATTTTATATAACCTGGAAACCATTTATAGAAAAATCACAGTGAAAAATGACCTTTCAGTTTTTCTCAAATTTTGCGAACAATTTTTCCTATTTTTCTTTCCCTAAAAACCTTATTCAGAATATTCAAAACATTTTTAAAAATAATTACCCAAATCAGTCTAGTCGGTAACCAACTAACAGTTTTTCATTTTATGACTCGCCTTTCCACAACTATAACGCCATTTTATATTCATTAATTTATTACATCAATAATTAATAATTATAATGAGTAGAGTCTCATTCACTATCGAACGATAGGAACAATAGACTTCTAAATAATAGACTTCTCGACCATGTCAGTGGAAGGTCAAAACAGGTCCACTGAGTAAATCTGGCATATCGACAACAGTCAAAGGAAAATTCATCAATTCTAGTTTAAAATATATTATTATAGTAATTAGTAAATTTACCTACTATCAACCTTGAAAGTAAGAAAATAATCTATATTCTCACTTGGTTTTCTACGATATTTTAATTTCAAGCAAGTGAGTGTGAAATATATTATTTATAATAAAAAGTGCTCATATCTCACTTAAAAATGAAAATTCTGTAATGATAGTTGATCAATTCACTATACTGTCAAAGGTAAAAAACGAAATTAGAACTTCTGAATAGATTTCTACAAGTTATCGATTCGTAGAACGGAGAGTGGAGACAACAATTAATCGAATTATATTTTATAAATTTATTTATTCTTTTAACGAGGCAAATGTTATTGTAATAACTTACGTTCTATAGTCATCATTTAGCTTATAATTTTGCACTTTCATTAGGTGTTTATGAGCTTAAGAGTCATCTAAAATGTTCTTATTTAAGAACAATTGATATCTGTCCAATATATCATATCCTCAATATAAACTAATATAGTTTACAATAGACAATAGTAGTCTCAATAACAGACAAAAAAAAAATAATAATCTGTTGATCCATAAAAAGGCTAATGTTTTTTGTTATTATAAAGGACCTATATAAACCATCAATTCAAGATTAAAAAAAACAATCTTCTTCCCACAAACTAAACGATATCTACTTGAGACCCAGAAATATTAATTATCTTGTTAGTTATTGCGTAGTTTACTTAGATATTTATATTAATCAATTTTTGTCTGAGGTAGATAGTCTTTTATTAAATTGTTATATATAATAGTATAAATAAACAATAGGTATTTTTATAAAATATTTATACAGGTATATATTACAATGCATACTACCACAGTTTATTCACAAGTAGGGAGGTAATTTTCTTTATTGTTCATCAGATATGAACCGACATGCTACCGACAAACTTTTATACATAGAAATTAATCTTTTTTTCAGAAATCGACGGTTATTATACTTAAAATAAATAACTAAAAATGCCATAGCCTTGATGATTGTTTGTTATTTTTTAGATTTTGGGAGAAAAAGAAAATATTGTTGGGTCGACAGACAAGACAAGTTATTATTGAAATAAATATCAAGCCTGGGTCACATGTCGCCATTGATGATATTAGACTAGAAGATTGTTTACCAGGTAATTATAGAAATTATACTACCTATATCATAATTAATAATAAATAATATTTATTATTAAAAACAGTTAGAGTTAAATCTATAATAATGCATTATAATTGTTATATAAATTAAAATAAATTATTAATTAATATTACGTAGATACGTTAATTTACTTCATTCCATTTGTACGAATTAATGAAGATAATGAAATATAACATTTATTCTCATAGCTTAATATTATAACATGTTTAATAATCGTTATTTATTTTATTCATCCATATTACAAAGTAAGTAGGTTTTGAATGTTATGTACTCATAGAATTAATGATGTGTGTACTCTGTAGGTAAAAATTTTCTAAAACTATATTTGGATAACCGACATATTAATGTAAATTTAATGTACATATTAATTCAATGGTAAATGAATACGGATTTAAAACCTATCAATAAATAGGTATATGTACGTAAAACATACAGTGTAATAGACCCATAACCCATAACCCATAATAATCGTATAAATTAAAACAATAATTTTTTTTAATTTGATTTTTATGGTCTGGGGAGATAGAATATTACTACTCGATTGATAACTTAATACAATTACTCAACATTTAATCCTTAACACTATTCACAGTGCTCATTAACTTGATACTAGAAAAATAAATATACCTGGTTCTATGTCAGTCAATGACCTGGCCTATGTGGATGACATTTCTAATTTAGGATGGATCGAATTAACGATGGAGAAACTAGGTTAGGGATGTATGTATGCTGTGGGTTAATATTTAATTATTATTAATAAAGAAAAACAGAATACAGTGAAACCTCTTCTAACGGACACCTCCGAATAGTGAAAATTCTATTGGAACCTACTTACAAACTTTTTACATACTGAACCCTCTGAAAATCGGACAAAATTGCAGCAACTGAGAAAGCCTAGTATTTAGAGAGGAGGTGGACAGGCTGCTGCACACTAGTGTCAAATAAAATAACATAATATAATTTTTAAATATTAATAAAATATAACAAAATAGTTAGGTATTGTATCAAAATAACATTAATAATGTAATATAACATTATTTGATTAGAATCTATAATAAAGTCAGTCATTCTATAATAATCACCGTATTAATTTGCATTGCACATCAATTCTTTAATTTAATTTTTCTAATTAGCACAATATGGAAAAATGTTGGCCACCCCAAATTTAGAGGTTTCATCGTACATGAAACTCAGTCAAAAGGATACGGTAATCCACCAATGAAAGAGCCTAGAAGTATAAGGACATAATATATTGTATGGACTGGAACAATTTAAATATTTACTATTCAGGAGTCATTTTAATTGAAGCCAATGAAGACAAATGAAAAATAAATACTATTTTATAGTTCGAACCATCCAAGATCCATATCTAAAAACCTAAAAAGTAAAAATTAAAAGTTATGACTTTGATACGACATGTCAATCTTACATTATAGCTCCGACACATTGCCCTTTAGAAAAACTGAGAAGACCCACAAAGCGTAGGGTGTAGAAGACTTCTCAACGAATAATATTATAAACATGTTTTCAACGACCATGTATTATGACTTATGTTACATTAATCACGAAAAAATCTAGAAGGATTGGCTAGCTATGTCTGGTGACGAATTTTATCATGATAAAAATGGTAATTGAAGAAGTCTTGATAGAAAATAAACCACTAAGTAGCCATGCTTTAAATGAGATAATTGTGTGAAAAAATCCGTAGACCTAAAAACTGATTGGGAGGAAGCAGTTGAATATTGACAGAGACGGAGAAGTGTTTATTTTAAGGAAATCTAAAGGTGAGAAACAACAAAGGAAAAATATAAAAACATACTCTAAAACCGTCTCACACGGACCCATGTCAAAAAAGTTTCACGCCAAGATGTCTGCGCCCGAATTATGACTAGTTGTGTATATTTCGATTCTATTCAAACAACAAGCCCGAAAATTCACCAATTCAACGCTGGAATAATAATTGCCGTATATTCGATTAAATTATTTCGTCGGCAACGTACAATCCTTTTTCCATACATTATACGGACAGCGGTCGATTTTGATTTACTGCCATAATATTGTAACATAATATATTGTGTTCGTTCGGTAGCGTAGGTAGGTAATCGAAATTCATAAATTATGATCATTGTCCATTTAAACATTGTTTTATAACATCGTACGACTTCTGTGTGTGATGGGTACTACACACCTACGTGTATACCTGAATGGCACTTATTGTTAACTATCCAGTATCGGTTATTATTATTATTATTATTTGTTTTACCGTCGAGGGTTGAACGTACGATCGTAGTTAACATGGTTAATCTATATTGCACGAATCCGTAAAGTACATTAATTTGAATTCTATTGAAAATAAAGGCTTAGTTGGTGGTATTGTACAGGGTTTTCAAAATTACAAAATCGTTTTGGTTTCATCCGACGAAAAGAGTATGTAATGAAAAAATACAAAATTTTGCAGTGTATCACACATCGTGGCTCATGAATAATTTAAAAAATTCTCTTTAAAGCTTTCTGAGACATTTACAAGTTCATTGTTATACTTAATTTAGGCCATGAATAATAAAGATTTTGTTTTTCGAAAAACCATCGGTAACGTGCAATTATTACTAGTCACTGGAATAAAAAAAACAAAACAAATACTATTTATTACTCGAGAAAAACGTCATTTTAAGTAGTAGGATTCACACCTTTGTGTAGGGACATTTTTATTTTTATAAACAAATACAAGGTACCTGACTGTTAACTTTGCTTGGGTTTATTTAAGATGCAATTTATAGCTTAACATTTATGTGCTGCCTATTCATTTTTTTTCCACCAGAAAATTCACCTTTTGTAATCTCTGGTCTTTCAGTTTTACAGCGAATGAAATATTTTATGCATGTATTACGTTTTGTTTTATACAAAGAAACCGAAAAGTATATTTTTTTAAAAAACTTCTTTTACTTATTGCTCACTGACCGTTTATATTTAGAATTTCACTGTATTTTTTTATTTTTTACGTTCCAATTATAAGTCCATACTTCATTACACTAAATATTATTTAGGTATAAAACAAATACGGTTAACTGTTATTGTGAACAGTGGCACTCATGGTTAAAAAATATCCCACCAACTGACAAATTATTGATTCAAAATTAACGGTGACTTGATATATATATCATGATAATAAAATAAAAATAATGAAATAAAATAATGTCGCTTGTATTTTATTTTTTAACTGGGGTTAATATATTGCTGTAAACTCATTATGTAGGTACTTAATTTTGTTCAAAAATATAATCTTTCTATGGTACATATATTAATATGTATAATTGTATTTTTTCAGAATACTTTACTGGAATTACCGAAAACGGTTGTCCAACAGACTCACACTTTTTGTGTTCTGATAATATGACATGTATACCTTATCATCATGTCTGTGACATCAGTCCAGATTGTCCCGATGAAACCGATGAAACCGAAAACTGTTGTAAGTATAATTTTATTTTTCAACAATTATTAGCAATACATTTTGGTATGTGGCTATGTATTATTTGTAGTTGAAGAGAACGACACGGAAATAATATCCTCTAAATATTGAAAGTAAATTGTTTGGGTTTGTCTGGGTTGGTATAATAGCGGTTACAGTGAAATCAAAAACATCCAAAGAATTAGAAAAAACAATAAAAAACTTATGTTTATATAATATTGTTATCAGTTGAATCGTTAATAATCAATGAATATTGGGTTTAATTCAAAGATCAAAAATGTATTTAATTTAATATGTTGAAAGTTAATCAATCTCACGTGTGGCACAGACAAAATAATATAATTTTCTAATAACCTCTCTAACCATCTATATTACACATATTGACGTTTTAGACAACAGTGCTATATATTTTATAGCAAAATGTATTATTAACAAATTAATTAATTTTCTCTAAATTAGTCATGTAAATTATTAACACCTCCGGCGTAATATGACGTCCTTTAAATTATTATAGTGAAACTAGGTTGTACATTTCACGAAGCTTATTAACATATTGTATATTTAATGTTCTCACATTTGAAAATATGTTTACATTAATTTAATAATGCGGTAAATACTCAGATAAAGCTTAGCGAAAAATGTGTAAGGTCTTAAACTTTTATTATTAGTAGGTAACTACTTAATATTTAAAAAAAAAAAAAAAACTTTTTATAAGCCCATAAAGTTTAATAAAAATTGTGTATCTGTTTCCTGTTTTATATATAAAATACAAATGAAACAAAAAATATGCACCTAAGGGAAAAATTAACTTATGTACCATCTTAAAATGATTTTATTTATCATCCAAATATTAAAATTTCAACTATAGTTGTTGAATCAGGATTAACAATCGTTACCTAAAATCAAAATATAATGTATAACACAAATGAAATAAATTATAGTGGAATATAAGGTTTCAAATGTTTATATAAGTCTAATATTTATACTTTAATTTGGCCACGATTGGCTATCATTAAATTTAAAAATAATAATAGCAATGACTTTTAAACATTTTAAATACGCTTATTAAAACCAAATTTTTATTCGAACTCTTTTTTATGAATATTAATTTATAAATTGAATAATAAGAGATCCATAAATTTGATTGAATATTGTATTTGGAGGTAATTTTTTGGAGATGTTTAGAAAAACTTAAATTTATAATCTGACCTTGTTTTCAACAAGCAGTTAAGTATAAATAAAAACTCCTAGTTCCAAACCAGATTTTAATACAATATGTTTATGGTTTTATAAACACGACTTATAATCTTCTGTAAATAGTTGAATAATATTATTTAAATAATATTATTATATGAATCTGTAAACATTTTTTTTTTGTTTTTAAATACTTTTTGAGATAATTTATATTTCAATAACTTCATCATTTAATTAAATATAGTAAATAGATAGAATAATGCACTTTAATTTAACTATATTCAACCATCATATTTTATTATTAATAAAATAAACATTGATTAAAAAATATAATCAATAATTTCTTTATTAGTAAGTGCAATTTTAAGTTCAAGAATTTTGTTTTCGAACACATAACATTTTAAAGTCACGTGTTTACCTACAATAATAATTATTATTAATTGTTGATTTGTTCGGGGATTTTTTTTTTTTATTTTATTTAATTAGTGATTTATATATGCAGTTTTCAAATAATCACTAAATATTGTACCAAGTCAAAATGGAGTGACGCACTATATTTTAAGCTATATTCTGGCCATTGTTTGTTAGTTATAATAGATGTGTGTTATTTTAGGTACTTGATTTTAGTCATTACCCTGTGCATTTTTCTCAGATTTGTCTGTCAGCTCCAACTTCCGTTTTTCACATTACTTACTATTTATAATTTAATAAAAAGAGTACAAACGCATACTTTAATATTAAATGTTTTTTGTAGGTAATATTCCCTTCGTTGTATCATAATTAATTACACCATGGTCTGTAGTATTCGCTTTTTTTTTGTTTTTATTATACCATAAATTAATTAACTATCCTGCTATAATTACCTTCATAATGTAGGTACCTACTTCGATATTATTATTCGCAGTGTATTTATACTTGCTCATATAGTTTGAAGTAAACTTGATCATCCAGATTTCAATAATAATTATTGTGTATAATATATTGTCATGAAACATAGTTTATAATTTCAAACTCATAAAATATTTACCATACTAAAATTAAATCCATCACTGGCTTATCATGTACTGATAAATATTTTTTTTTTTATCACATAAAGCAGATTCAAATGTTAGCTATACCTACAATTTGTTAGTGTAAGTAAATTATTTTTAAATCGTTAATATTTCAAGTTACCAGAACGACGACAATTGTCAAATTATATTTTTAACCAAACAACGTATTATAATGTAGAGAACAGTGGTTTGCACCCTTTCCATTAATCCGTCATCATTGTGCTTGTACATTTTTCGTAAATTAAGTTGAATAATAATATAGTACTAGGCTATTATATTTTTATTTTGTATTGTCGTAGCGAAATAATGAATTTTTAACGGAATAATTATTTCGGTATCCAACGTTGGCCATGCACTATTGTCGGTCTTTATTTTTAATTCAAATGGATTTGCTGCGAATGGTGAAAAATCGCATCCACCGTAGCCAACGGGCACGATAGTAGTGATATCAATATGACTATTCAGAATGAAATAAAAAAAGAAAGAAAAGGTCCATTAGTATTTTTATTCCAATTCGCACGTGACCGTAAAAAGCTCTATATCACACTTACTGCAGTATAAGATTTCGTTTCACGAAATCAACGTTAATTATTAACGACGAGGCCCGAACATACTATTATTATCAAGAGTGGTCGGGTTCCATAGTATTATGATGGCCCGAAGTCATTAATTGACCGAGGATATTATTTACTGTTGAGGACAATGAGAGTTGTGTTCCAAAACGATCTGATTGTACACTAACAAAATAAGAACAAAACATCCATTATTTTGATAACGGAGCGCCACTCGGCTGCCGTCTATTGTTGTTAGTTGATGTGTCCAACATTACTGTTAGGCCTCGCAAACACATATTGGTAGCATATAATGATAACATTTTTGAGATTCAACAATATTATATATAACATCTTCGACGATTTCCCGAAAACGCATTGATTTTCCGTGCGAAACAAAACAACTCATGCATAAAATATATTATGACCTTTTTAGGTAATTTAACTCTGTAATAATATATTTTCACATCACATCATTTCAACACAATCAACATTTGTGTATTTAAACTTGGTGTGATCTTCTAAACATTAATTTTGACTTGTTTAAAGACAACGCATTTGAGTTTGAAGTCTTCGAGTACTTGACGATAATAATACGTTCATTACTGTATGAATTTTGCGGATTTAATGTTTGTTATAATATGTTAAATTATTGTGGTCACTGGTCACATATAAAATACACAAATGCGAAATTATTATTTATTATGTTTACCAATATAAAACATTGATTTTTAATAAAATCACATAGTATCATTTTTTAATGAACAAAAATCTTTAAACAACATAACTCAAAGTTAAAAAATAAACAAATCAAAAAAGGCCCTTTTAGTAGTTATTTACATAATGATAATATTGGTATTATGCTTAACAGCTGGTGGAAGTTGATGCATATGTGGCGCCTAATATTGCAGTGGTTGCAATATAATATTTTCTTTACATATTTTTCCCAAATATGAATAACCGGGACATATTTTTAAAAATGGGACGGTATTAAGCGTCCCGAATGGTATTTTTTTATCGTGACCCAGGGCAGACTTTTTAAAATACGGGACTTGACCGCATAAAAAAACGGGACTTCTGGCCACTCTGTGTTAGGTATATTGTTATGCTAATTTTGCACGTCTAATGATTTTTGTCCGCACCTATATTAATGTTTCAGTTCTCGTACCCACCGAAGCTCGATGTACGTTCGAGTCTGGGTTCTGCGGATGGCGGAATACGTCGGGCGAAATGTCTCTGACGTGGAAACTGTACAAAGGCGACCGACACAAATTTACCGGGCCGAAATGGGATAACACTTTCCGCAACCGAACTGGTAATGTGACTACCCGCTTTGGACGTCAAACGAAAATCAATATCAACAATATTTTTTCACCCCTTTTTTTTTTTTATTACACACGGTGTTCGTGATCTGCGTTCAGGGTTTTTTTCTTCCCAAAATATATTCCGTTTTTCTGTTTTATTTCACAGGTACCTACGCTTACGTGGACATGTCCGGATCATCCTATCTCGGGGCGACGGCTCGCATGGACAGCATACATTTCCACCCACCACCCACCTACTGTTCCGACACGCAGTCAAAATATTACAATTCTTGTTATGTAAGTATCCGTTGCATTCCGATCGCTGTTGTAGTAGAAAATTGTTTTCAGTTTGTAGATTCATTACTGGGAGTAGAAATAACCTGAATTCGCGATGAGGTGATATTAAGATCGTAGAGCGAATTTTAAGGTTTCGGCCCCGGAATCGCAAGACGATTTCTTTTTCAATTATCAGATTAATTGATTAATAATTTTCGTTGATAAGATTTTGGAGTAAGCAATTATAAGTTGTTTGTGCGGAGTGTAAACTTGTTTGTTTTTTTTTTTTATCATACCAACCCATTGTGGATATTGTACTTTGAAGTCGGTGTACACGACCACACTATTATGTGTCTCTAATTCGTAATCACGTACAAGATTTTTGAATTAACAAAAACCACTAATTTGGATAATATTTTCTATCTTGAGACCACCGATATCTAGTGTATAATAATAAACTCTAAACGAGTCGCTACGGCCATATTTATTTTTATATATTTTTAAAAAATTTAATTTTATTACATTTAAGATTTTAAACGCTCAACAGCAAATAATCTAACAACTTGACAAGTATAATTTACAGTCAAAGTTACAGTGCAGCATTGAAATACATCGTCAGAGTATTATACTCTCGAAAGAGATTGTCTAAAGTTATTATTGTTGACAATAATTAACGTAATTTTAATGTCATTCATCTTGACACAATTAATAATATTGTGTTTAGCAGCGTGTAGTGTGTCGTTCAACTAACAACCACAATATATTAATATAATGTTGTTCTTCAGGATTTGTATACATAATTAATTTCAGTACATTTTCACAGATAAATAAAACAGTGTTATATTAAATTATAGAACAAAGTTTGAATAATAAAAACGTGTATTCCTAGACCAATGGTCTTGCAATTTGACCAATGCCCTCGTTTTTGTTTTTAATGTGTGATTGTTGTTTTCATAATATATTATGAGAATAGCTCTCTACCATAAATTACAGAGTCACACGACTATATTTGGTACATTTGATGCTGCTCATCCCGGATTTGCAAAATCAATTATTATTATTTATATTTATTTTATTAATATTTCTATCATGGTGAAGAAGTTTGAATAACCTTTTTCTGGGTAATTAATATTATAATCATGATTCTGACAAATAACGTCATGTTGTTGTTTTTGGCCAAAACCTTGAGGTGTTTACGAACTATCGTTTATTGTGAAACAAACATTTTTAAGTTTTTATTAAGTTTGGAGAATCGGTAAGCCCTTAACAGGCAGGACATGATATAAAACAAACGAACATATTATTGATCAATGTGGCAGCAACATTTGCTTTTAGGAATCTATAAAGAGATATCTAGGTAAGTATACATATAATAGCTATCGTCATCGTCCCCATCCCATTTTACAACCATTTATAACGTGATTAAATAAGAGAACCTAATAAAGGATATTGACGATGACAGGAAGATAACGAGAAATTAGGAATAGTTTTGGGTACTGTGAGAGCCTAAAGTAGACACTAGACACTAGACAGACGTGAAATTTGAAGTGATTCTATGAGAGGATGTTATCAAAATAACAGAATAATAGCTTCTTGGGGTGAAATAATTTATTTTTAGATGGTAATTTTTCCATATGAACATAAAAATTGGTGTACATATAATACAGGGTGTAACAGAAAAACATGACAAATTAAATAACTGTTAATCTATTATCAATATTTTTATTTTTTAATATTGAAAACAGCCAATTTCTATATATGTTTTTAGCAAAATATTGAGTGTAAAAACATTTAGTTAAATCTTGTAGTTTATTTTTTTTTAAATATTTAGATAAACTCTTTATTTTTGTTCAGTTAAGTTTATCCACTCTTAAAAAATAATTTTTAAATCAAAAAGTATACATTTTTTAAAAAATATTTTTGAGAATTTGTTAGTAGATATTTGTTAAAAACTAAATATATTTTTAAACAGTTCTTAATTTGAAAATTAATGAGACTTGCTTTAAACAAATTATAAATAACCACTTGACTTCGATAAATATTTTAACAATCATTACGTTAGATCAAATTTACACATTGGATATTTGGAAACATTTTAATAATTTTTTTTATTTTCAGTATTAAAAAATAATTAACTACAAAATATTGATTAGGACAAAAGTTATTTAATTTGTCAGGTCTTCCTGTTACACTCTGCATACTGAACATCACACTATTTTGTAGCGATTGTTCACTATTGCTTATAAAATTAAAATAATTATAAAATATAAGATTGGACAAACAAAGTTGGTAGTAATTACAAATGTCCGTAAATAGCTCAAATAGAGTCAAAGTATTTTGAAAATGTTATGAAGTATAGAAAATGGTAAAATAAACATGTAGTGTATGTATCTTAAGTTATAATGGTCTTTGAATAACAACAAAATAAGAAAATCTCTACGTTAGAAATTGAGCGAGTATCCAATGTCGTAAAAATTTTAACTTCAAACTCTCATAAAAATTTAATTTGACTTTCCGATTTACATACTTTAAATTTTTGATAAAAGTATGAAAACTTATTAGAAAACTTGTATTACATTTTAAAATCTTAGTTTAAAAAGAATTTTTTTATGAATTTCTATGTTAAAGTAATTTGATCATTTTCGTGATTTTTACTTATATTGTCAAAATTTAAACTTCAAATGGTTAGACACAAATAAAATAAAAAATAAAAATAAACACACATCATTGTAAAATCAATACATTCATCGTTCCACTCAGATTCTAAAAATTTTTTAAAAATGTCAGTAAACAGCTCAAAACAAGTCAAAATATTTTGAAAATTATATGGTGTATAGATTATTCTAATATAAACATTCAGTGAAAATTGCATCTATCTAAAGTCATTTGTTTTAGAATTACACCAAAAATTCCAGTTTATCCCTAATTTTTTTTGTTTTTCCCCTTCGCTTTTATAAACTACTGGGAATTTTTACTTTTGACCCCCCAAAGAACTAACTTGATTCACTTTCTATCAGAAAAAATGCTGTTGAAGAAAACTTAGGCATTTTTACTGCCGAAAATGCGTTGACAGACACAAATAAAAAACACACTTCATTGTAAAACCAATACATTCATCGCTCTGCTCAGAAGTTAAAATTAAATTAAATTTTTATTTATTTATGAAAGATAGAAACGAGCATGTTATATTATAACATAAAGAAGGGAATTTATCAAGCTCTCAAAATGTCGTGGTTGCCGCAACTCGTTGTTTACTAAAAAGACAATCTTGTTCTGCATGATTAAAAATGTCTGCTTCGTGTAATTACTACATTTAGCACACCCGTTTAAATTAAACACCACGTAGAAACACCTAAAATAAATAATTTAAATATTTTGAAACTATAAATAACTGTCACAGTTAATGTTAAAGAACAACAAAACGTTTTATTTATTTTCATTGAATTTTGTATATTATATTATTATACTTATAAATGCATTAATAAAATAATAAAATTACGCTCGGGAAATTAATTGTAAATAAATCATTTTGAGTTTTCTCAGAAATCAATTTTAAATATTTGATATCAATTTATAATAATTTTCTGCGAAAACTGAATGAGGAAGTAACCATCATCGTTTTTATTTGCATACTCTAATTTATACGTTATGTATATTATTTGGGTTATACATTTAGTGTATAATGAGATTTTTAAGTAGAAAATTATGAATATTGTTTTATAGAAATACCAATAAAATATTATTCATAAAACATTAATTATTATTATATCAAATAAAAATCTGAAATAAAAAATGTATTATTGAATATTGTTCCAATAAAAATAATGATAAAATATATAATAATACTTTGCAAATGAAAAATACATATACTTGCAAATATTTCCTTTAAAACTATTAGATTTTTGATTCCATTACTCAATGGTATTGTTATTGTATTTCTTAAAAACGTGCTTTAAAATAAAAACATACTTGTAAAATGTCCTTTAAAAATTATAAATTAACAATCAATACTATAAGTCAATGCCATGAGATACTTTGGTCTTATTATTCTATCATAATTTATTTTATGCGATAGTATTATAACAACATTTTGTGTATATTATCTTAAATTGTGTTCGTCAGATATTTCAACAGACCTGAACATACTGATACTTTATTCGGTGTTACAAAAAGCTTAAGACAAAGTTAATTAAAAGAAATTGCATTCCTTCGCGTTAAAGCGTAATTACACGTTGTGTAAACATATAAAAAATGAGCAACTTGGTAATTTTTTTAAATTGCATTCCTGTTGCTTTTAGAAAGCTCTCTGGTATTAACTATAAACAAGTTTTGGATGATTTAAATGTACAAACCGTATATTTACATAGCATTGTATTGGGAAAGTATTATTGATACGATTTTAGACATTTGTTTAACAAAAAACGAGGTTGAATAAAAAAAAAAATGTATACATTAATAAAACAAATAATAACTAATATCGTTATAGAAAACCTAAATATGAAGATGCCTAATAATGCCATTCTATATAGTATTTACGAGGGTTTTGTATTTTGTCGAAAGTGTAAGGTAAAAACCTTAGTAAGACAGGTGCCAAATGTGTATATAATATAATGTTATAATGTTACAAAATTATAATATTATAGTTATTTTATGAATGAAAGAAGTAGTTAACACCATATAAAATAATATAATATGGTGTTTTAATTTAATTTAAATGTAATGATTAAAATGTTAAGAATGGTATGTTCACACTTATTATTTAGAGGTGGAATGTCGAATCCAACTCGATAGGTACCTGTAATCTCATAATATACTGTACAAATTTTCTTTGGTATTCTACTTCTGTTTATAATGCGTTTGCTTAATATAAATAATATGATATAACTATGACAGCTGGTGTATTACACATTATAAACTAGAGTGGTCCCATTGTGAATATAAATAAGTTAAAAAGTATAAGTTATTTGTACCGAGCACCAGGGTGTGATAGGCCTGTCTAGAGTTCGAGAAAATCTCGAAGGGCTGCTAACATTTTGGACAGGTAGGAGAAAATGGCCGAAATGATGCATTACGATTTATATGACAACTATAATAATATAATAGTGTGC